GATTTAATGGACGTGGCTTCCTTGTTAGGGACTAGGTTATTGACTATAGTAAACTACAAGATGGACCCCTATGTACACTGCTAAGGGTCCCTTAACAAGGCCAATATTCACAGTAGGTATAACAAACCCTAAACCCTAAACCTAAACCCTAAATAGTAGGTTCCATTTTCTTTTCCATTATCCCAATATAAACCCAATAATATCAAGGAGTGTCGTGTCGTACCCCGGAGGTCGTGCCCCTCAGGGATTTTCTGTCATAAGCCTTATATAAGGCTTATATGGGACCTATATGTGACTCAGCACGAAACCACAACAATGATGAGTTTCCTCAGAAGCTACGAAACTGTCATTGTCAGGGGCAAAGTCCTACGCTCATGTTTGCAATTCCGACCTGAATCTATTCTGGCAGACAAGTTACGCTCGGCTCACAGCTCGTCACAAAGCAAGACCTGGAACCGACCTTTGCTTTTGAACTGGCGTGCTCACTTCTTCGCCGGCTTTGCCGGCTTTTCGGGTGTCTCGTGTAACTTGCGCACTTCTTCGCCGGCTTTGCCGGCTTTTTTGGGTTGAAACTTGCTCACTTGTTCGCCGGCTTTGCCGACTTTTTGGGCTTCTTGTCCTTCTTGGCCTTCTCTTTCTTGGCCTTGTTTTCCTGCTTCTCCTTCGTCTTCTTGTCACTCTTCTCCTTCTTGTCGCGCTTGTTTTTTTTGCTGTGCTTCCCCGCCGGCTGCGGCGGCGAGATGTCACGGGGTCTCTTGATGCCACTGGCCGAGGCCTTTTCAGTCTCTGCGCGAGACTGCGTCTCAAGTGATTCTGGCCCAGTTTCCGTTGAAGCAGCAAGAAGCTTCTTGCTGCTGGATCCGGGCAAGGTCTTTGCCGCTTTTGTTACATCTTTGCCAGAAGCGTGCAGCGCTTGCTTCCTCTTTCGGCGTATGCTACTATCCGTACTCAACGACTCTAAGTCCAAATCCAAATCAGGGGCGTCGGACTTTGCTGGCGAAGGCGAAGACAAAGCGCCAGCAGCCTCAGCATTCTCGCAGGATTTTTTCCTGCAGCTTCGCATGCCTTGCCAGCTGCATCCTCGCCGCCACCACCAGGAGCTTTTCCTGCAGCTTCGCCTGCCTTGTCAACTGCAACCTCGCCGCCCTCACCCTGCTCGGCCACTTCCTTCAAGCCTTCTTCTGAAAACACGGCATCCAAAGCTTCTTTGATGGCCTGTGGACTGGGTCTCCCTGAAACGTCCTGGGTTGCAGCGTTGGTTGATGAACTGCAAACACTTTAACTTACTTAACGAGCGGAGGGAAAACAATTGAGGCGCCCACGAAGCCCCTCTTTTTGTGGCAGGACCACAGAAAGTGTACGACTTCCTTGAGTGCTTGAAAACGCGTTCTCACCTCGGCAAAACCTCTGGCAGTTGTGAAATTCTTCTTCGGTTTCCGTTTTCTCTCCAGCTGCTCCTTCGTCAGAAGCCTCGGGTAATAGCCTGCGAATTGGTGCTTGGCCACCTGGAGCGAGATGACGCAGCAATCCATTGGGGGTCTGAGATCTTTTAGGGCTTTTGGAGTAAAGTGCACCGCGGGTGCCTTTGCTTTCGCCCCGAAGCGAGAGCGGATGAATTCATCCATCTGTTCGTGGTCAAGGAAGTCATTCAGCTGCTCAAACTCTTGCTCCCCAGCAGCTGCCAGCTGCGAGACCGCCTCCTGCATGCCTTTTACCCGGACAACGGCTCTGGTCGAAGCCGTCTCGAGCAAGCGCTGGCATCTTTGCCATTGTGTCGCTTCTGCTTCTTCAGGAAACCATGCACGCACGATTGCCATCCTCAATCACGCGAAGCAAGGCAAAGACACCAAACATTGCTAGTGTTATTCTAGTCTTTTGTAGAAAGGCTTCAAAAAATTCGACCTAAAGGCCCCAAACAAAACCTCTCCGCTGCTTCTGAGGCTCAATCTGCTTTTCGTACCTACCTGCTTCTCGTTGTAGCGCGTGGCTGAGGTGCCGGAAGCAACAACAAGCTTCACCAGGTTCTGTGTCACTGTGCTGTCCAGGGTGCCATGCTCAATCCAGTGCTTGATCAGGAGCTGAGGCTCTCCAACTTGCTTCAGGAAAATCCCCGACGCAGGGCTGTCATCCCGAATGCCTCACTCAAGCACGCCTTCTCACTTTGTGCTGTTACCCGAGCGTGGAATGCTTTGCAGCAACAGCAGCAACAGCGACGACGACGACGACGACGACGACGACGAGGACGACGAGCAGCAGCAGCAACAACCACAAAACAGCAGCAGCAGCAGCAGCAGCAGCAGCAGCAGGAGCAACAGCAGCAGCAGCAACAGCAGCAGCAGCAACAGCAGCAGCAACAGCAACAACGACGACAGCAACGACAACAGCGACGACGACACGACTCATCGGTATGTAGACGTTGAACTGGAAACTCTAGCCCTGCTTGAACTCTATACTCTTTTTTGGAGCCCTTGCTTGTTGTCCAGGAACTGACTATTTTTGGGCAAGTTTTGCGCGAGTTGGCTAACAGTTAACAACGAAGATTCTCACCTTCGTGTCGGAGCTTCCGGGTGTTCTGTTAGGAACAAGAGAGACGAAGACTCCAAAATCCTGCTTGAGTCCCGGCATGTTGTCTGGCATGTTGAATCGCGTGTGGGAACCGTAGGGTGCAAATCTAAATAGCAACACAAACGAAAACTCGAGAATGAAATAATAACATGGTTGAGCCTTTGTACGTTGCGCGGAATTCGGAGTGCATCGCTCGCCCTAACCCTCAGCGACCCCTCAACCCAGGAAAAGCAAACTGTGGAGCTAGCAACAAGAATAACATCAAGGGCGACAACAACAGCAACGCAACACATGCCGCTTCTACACCGTATAGCATTCAGCGCCAACAAAAACGAGTTCAAGCACACGGGCTACTCTGTATGGGGCTCTGGGCTGCTGCTACGAGGCAAGCCTTATGATCGTCACTGTTATTCGTGCGCACGCACCGCTAACACCAGCGTATTGCAGACAGAAGACAGGGCTTGTAAGGAATTCCAAGGAAGTCCTCCTCAGCCTCAGTGTCTCTTGGTTTGGCAACCCGCAGCAAGACTGTGGGAGCAAACTTGCTCTTGCACTCTTCCAAGCTCATCTCAGCGCGCGCCAGTTGGAACAATCCATCCTCACATGACCCTAAACCACTCTAAACCCTCATCCCTAAACCCGACAACAGACCTCGCTTTAGGATTTCTCAAGTCGTTATTACTCATTTATTCTGCCCACCAAGCCCAACCATCAAAACGTTTATTCCGCAACGAAGTTCCTCAGTCTCACGCAGCTGCCAAAGAAACAGGCCTTGGTGATGGAAGCCTAGGCTGATATGCGTCGTGCCATCGGATCTGCGACGGTACAGACCAACCTCGCGCAGCAGACAACCTGCCCAGCTTGCAGCAATGTCCCGGAAGTCATTCGGGCCGGTGGCCCTCAATGCCATCAGCGATGCAATCGCTCGTCGATCTGACCCTTGACCGGCTGGTTTCACCTTGCCTGCAGTCACCTTGTCGAGTCCTGGCTGACGCAAACTTCACGCGCGCTCCTTCTGTCTCTCTCTCTCTCTCTCTCTCCCACTCTTTCACTATTTCTTCTTCTCTCGCTTTCTCTCTTTCTCTCCTCTCTCTCTTTCTCTCTCTCGCTCTCTCTCTCTCTTTCTCTCTCTCTCTCTCCTTCTCTCTCTGTCTCCAACCTGCAGCTTCAAGTGTCACAGTGTGGCTGTACCCGCAGCTAACTCCTACTTTGTGAATTTCGTGAACAGCTCCCCTTGTCCTTCTTTGCACAGCTGCTTCACTTCCGTGGAAAGCCTGGACGACGTGTCCGGCCGCAAACCGAACACTGCATCACGGTTGGTGGATGCGGCGCGCGCTTGCAGGCTCTGGAAGTCACCAGGCAGCTTCACATGACGGACACTGGTCAGGCGCCCCGACCGAGAGCTATAAAAGAAAGTCCTCTCTGCAGCTTGGCCGCTTGATCGCTTCTGGTCACGGCTAGCCACATCTTTTGTTTGCCCGATTACGTCTTCGAGGACTTCCTTTGTTGTCAGCATGCCCTGCGCGAGCATGGTCACGTGGTGGTAGCAAGACTCCGGTCGCCACTGAAAGTGCTCACAGTGCTGCCAGAAGTCCTGCGGCTGCCACAGGGATCGATATACTCTCACTACACACACAGCCGCGCTGCTACTCTTTAATTTCGGGACTTGTAAGATCCGGTGCTCGTTTCTAGAATTCAAGGTTTAACAGTTTAGGGACTCAGGGCTCAGTGTTTGAGTGCAACCTAGTCACTTGCACAAGCGTCAGCTTGTGCACCCACAGCTCCGACAGCGTGCTCAGCAAACCCTGGTCAGGGGCTCAAATGATTTAACAGTCAGTGGATTCGCGAAGGCTGCGCGCAAACTACAGCGCTCAACCTTGTTCTGCTTAACATTCAGTAGCTGCCTCGTGCTCTGCGTGTCGCGGAGCAGCACGGGTAGCTTGCAAGGCAGCTTTCACATACTCCGCGTCTGCGCGCGCCTGGGCAAAGGCTGCGTTTGCTTCAGCCATGTTGCTGGAGGCAACTCCACAGAAAGTCTCGGGCGGTAGTTCCGACCATGTTGCCATGCTCCACGTTCTGGCAGAAGCCGTGCGAATGACCAGCTTGGTGAAGAGTGCCATGTCTGCTTCCTGTTGGCTGGCTTCACGCGCCCCTCCGTGGAAACCCAAGCGCATCATTGCCCCTTTATCACGCAAACTGGCCAGGACATTGGCGACGCTCAGCAGCCAGTGTCGATTTGCCCACCCCACTTAGATCTTCTGCATCTCACCTTCCTGACTCAATCGCTGGAGCGTGTCCTTGAAGTCGCGGATCAGTGCTTTGGCAGCGTAGCAGATCCTAGACAAGTAGCGCACAGGTGCGAACGTAGCTTCTGTCTTTTAGGATTCAGAAAATGACAGGAGATGACAGTGGGCAGTTGTGAGAACTAGGCAGAACTAGCCGACCGTGCCAAGATGCATCCACCCACAGAACTTCACACGAGGGTCGCGGAGGATGTCACACACAATGTCAAGAGTGCGACGCTTCTCTTGCATCTTTCTCAGGTCTTTCAGCAGGTCAACGTCAGGCTTGCGTCCTCGTTGCCCAGGTCCCTGGACAGCGTCCGGTCCTGGCGCTGCCGCCTCCGCTTCAGTCTCTTGCTGGGCCTGGTCCTCCTTACTCTTGAGAGCCACCCACGTCTTGTACAACACCCTGAGGAAAGCCCAGAAGGGCAGGGCGTTGTACAATCTTGCCGGCAAACTGAAGAACCGAGACACGGAGACCTCGCCAAAATCAGAAGCCGAATCGGATCAACTGCTTACTCAACCTGCTGCCTAAACTTGTTGCTCCTACCTGCTGCGTGTCCATGCTGCCGATTGCAGACTGGAGCCGTTCATGCAGCTCACGGTCGGACATGGTCGGGCGCAGCATGTCTTGCCTGATCTCGTCAGCGATCTCTTGAAACCTCAGGCAATCGGGTCCGCTCATGACACGCAAGCGCTACAGCGCAGCGTACCACTTGATGAGAGTTTGCGAACTGTGATGCTGCGGAGAAGCGCCTCGGATTGAGGGCCATTTGCTTCCAGCCAGGAGCAGCAAATGGCAGCCAGGTCGTGGGCAAATTCCCCTGATCCATAGGGCTTGTTCATCGCGGAAAGAACAAGCTTCACGCAGCCGGTGACTCCTGCGCAAACGGGCAAGCAAACAGCGACTCATCAATGCGCAAGCAAACAACGACTCATCCCTGACTGTCAAATTTGGAAATCATTGACAACGATCCTTGAAGACCAGCATGTCTAGCGCCAAGTAGCTGATCGTTGTGAATCCGGCGGACAAAGTCGGGGCGATGCTTGCCTCTAATTCCAAACTGGTAGAGCAGCAAGTTGATCCAACGCACCCTCAGCTTTCAGACAATTAGCTAGCCGGCAACGGCAAGCGCTTCAAGTCTGGGATTGAGCCAAGTTGCTGCCGCGACTCCTGATCGCTCAGGAAAGTGACGGCCCCCTTCAGCTGCAAGTCATTCAGCTGCTTCTCCCGGGGTGGATGCGGTGTTACCATGTATGTGTCTAGTGTGAGGTTCGCGCCCTGCTTGAGGGCGTTCTGCACGCTGTTCAAGTACTTGACCGGCTCGAAGCGGTAGAATTTGCCCAGCTTGCGTGCCTCCTTGGCCGAACCAGGCTGCACTTGGCCGCACCGCGCGTAGTGAAACAAGGAGGACAGGACACTAATAGCAAACTAGTTAGCCAAACATCCACCAACAATAACATAGACATGCAGGCGTGTCTCGGAGACAGCAGTTGCAAGCTTCAGCTCGAGCAGCGAATACTCCTTCATGGTCGTGTCGCCCTTGTCATTGGCCAGCGGGTTGCCAGACAGCACCTGCGGCGCCAGGACAGGGTTCACAACACGTCGGTCCTGTGGTTAGGGAGGTTGGGTCACTGCCTTTACGAGGGAGCTGCGGTATCACAGTTGCGCATCCTCAACAGGTTTAGGCTCATCAAGAGAACCGCAGATACAGCGCAGTCAGGAAAACTCAAGCATTCTGGTGGGTTTGGGTTACCTGAGTGTAATTTCAAACGAGGGTCCGACTACCTGCACTTCACCTTTACGTCAAGCTGCACTGTTATTACCCTTAGTAATTCGGGATAGCAGCGGTTTGAATGAACAAGCCTTTTTAAGAAACATCTACTACATTCAGATGCTGTTCCGTCGAGAGCAAGAATTCGAGAACGGTAGCAGCTCAGGAAGTGCACACGCAACGGCTATACTACGCTTGAAAGCGCACACCCCTGTTGTTGCACAGGCGCGCAGCGCTGTCTTGTGTTTCCGCGTCGGTGTTGCCGACAGGAGCCCCAGACCGTTGCGGTGCTTGATGTCGTGAGCTAAGTCACCGGCCCGGGCCCCTATCGCCATCAAAAAGGCAGAACGAAGCAGTGGCAGGCCCCCTCTTTGTTCACACCAGGTGCGTCCAAATTAAAATTTGAACAGACATCTTGAAGACCCCGGGGCCTTGCCGACCTACTAGCTTTGAACTTCTTCTGAAGATTCGGTGCGCTCGCAAAGGGCACTTGGGATGACGCAACACAGCTCCAAGGTTTGAAAGGAAGCTTCTACAGTAGGAAGTTGCAACACTCTCTGTGCCGCGTGACCCCACGTGACCGCTCAAAATCTCAGGTCGCAGGGTATGGAATCCATGAACCTGGCACAGCACATGCTCCAGGGGGAGGATACAGGGTTACTGGGCCAGTTTTAATTGGGGCTCTGAAGGTTTTCAGGAAGGGTCTACTCTTGCCAGAACGGCAGTTTCACTGAGTGCTCTTGTTGTCGACCAAAAGTATGGACGAGATTGAGTGGAATCGTGATCGAAATGTTGATAAAGATGTTCTGGGGATCTACAACTTCAGGGTGTTGCTCCTCACCGACTTGTGCAAGTTTCCTCAAACAGCACATGCTAGAACAACTTGGCAAGAGCTCAGAGGATTGACAACAAGTTAATGACCAGGCGTTCAAGGATCTAAGCTTGGGCCGATTCATGTTTATTTTTGTTAGGCCCCAGAGCTTCAAGATCTTTAGGGGGCTTAGGGTTTGGGGCTTGATGAGTTACAGGGGTCGAGGCTCCGACGGAATTCTGTTGTTGGAAGACTCTGCTCTGCCCAAAAGGCCCAAAGGTAGTCTGCCAGAAGTACATTAGCAACGCTTCCAAGTCCCTGCAATAACTGCAATAATTAATGAACGCCGTCCTTGAAACCTATCTGAATCACCGAAGAGCTTCGAAGTGATGAGTCACGACGCAATCAACCACAAACAATAGCACGCCTTTAGAAACCACATAGTGTTTGTTAAAGCAACTCCTTTTTGGGACACCGTGGCTCCGTTTTGGGACCCCCCTAGCCTAAGTTGAAGGGGCTATATTCATATAAGGCTCAGTAAACCTTCCTTAGGTTCCAAACTTGGCGGAGTATTTGCGGGCTACTTCCATGACACCTGACAAACTATCCACGGAGGTGTAGGCTTAGGGGCCGGGGTTCTAGATCAAGCCGGTCCGGGTCCGGATTTTGGGGCACGAGCCGAGAATCTGGGGGGGTTTCGTCGGGTGATGAAGTGACGGGCTCCGGATTTTGGGGTACGACCCGTAATCCTTATGAAAAAAGAGAGGATTACAGGTCGTACCCCAGATTTCGGCGTTATCGCCTGTCCGTGTAAATTAATGTGTGGGGTCACACCCAGGGCTGGGGTACGACCTGTAATCCTCTCTTTTTTCATGGGTCGTACCCCAAAATTCGGTGAAATTCCCAACGTCACCACGAAACCACCAAAATCAAGCAACCAAGCGGGTCCTGCCTCAGCCTTTTAGTCCAGCACCACTGGCGGCGGAGCCACGACTCTTTTCGGGCTAGCCTTAGCCGAAGGTTGCCTCAACGCAGGCGGTGGCTGAACGAGCCCTTTTGGTGGGACGACTTGGCCAGGCTGGGCTTGCTGGGCCTCTCCGTGTCCAGGCTGGGCGTGTCCAGGTTCGGCTTTTGGGAACGGAACTTCTGCAGGCTGGTCTTGCTGCGGCTGCACTTGTCCAGGCTG